GACCACTGGCCTCCATCAGAAGGGCTAAACTTCCCTTTCCTCACTCTTGGGCTCTCTCCCATTCTCCCCCCTCCAGTGCCTGGGGGAAGATTTACCCCTACCCTGACTTGTGCTTAATCTCTCCCAAGGGGGAGTAGAAAAGAACTGAGTGTGCCAGAAACCAGGTGTCAGACAAATATTTCCTACACACAATAGAAATGCCAAAAGATGTAAATAACTTCTACTGCATATTGACAGAGTGACTTAATTCGCTTAATTCCTACCATTATTACAATCACACCTCGTCGGAGCAGAAAGCAGTTTTTCCCGTTTCAGTTGGTCCTGCACTGTCTAAACAAATCTTGGTTCACATCTTCTGAGAGCGCTCCTTTCCTCTGAGGAAGTTAGTTCCGCCTGATGGGCTCAGGCCTCAGGACCTCCTGAACTCACAAGGTCACCTCTAAGACTCAGGACAGGAAACACAAAGCAGGGTCCCAGGCACAAGCACTCCTCATGGAAGCAGGATCCACCTCCCCACCCCACACCATAAACCTAGTTAGTGACAGGCAAGTGCTGCTGCCACATGGGCTATGCAGCGGAGGAGAGGGAGCCAGAAGCAGTCTCTCCTTTGCAACTGCCACGGCGCCGTGTGTACTTGCTCTTATCCTGGTCCAGGGCAAGGACCAAGGGTTGCACCTGAGTGCCAAGTCTTTGTGGGGCTGAGCCACTACGTGGCCAATAGTAGCAGCAGGGGCGTCCCAAAAGAATTTTAGCCCATGTGATCCAGCGGGATCTTCTTTAATTCTTCCAAAACCTAAGCAGAAAAGGGGATGTTTGATGGACTCAAAGCCCACTATAAGTCAGCAGTGTGAGATGACAGCCGAGAAAGGTCTGTTCATCTTGAGGGGTATAGCTTTCTACATAGGGCCAGACCTCCTTGAGGCAGCCGCCTGTGTCTAGGCAGGTCAGCACCTTCCTCTTGGAGAGCTCCTGCAGCACTGAGAGAGTGGGATTTGGCCAGAACGTTGGCGGGAGGCAGGACATTTGAAGCAGGCAGCTCTACCACCTGCACCAGGACTGCCCATCTCTATTTCAGTCAAGGGAGTGGTCGTGCTGCCATCCTCTTCAGGCCTCATCTGCAATGTAATGTTCGGTTGGGGGTGACATGTTTTAGGAAGGATGATAGTGATCTTGGGGGTGTCCAGAGGATGGCAACCAGGGTGGTGAAGGACCTTCAGCCTACGACCAGCCTGGGACAGAGGTACTGGGCACTGTGTCATGTGGAGGAGAGATGAGATAGTTCTGTTTGGCCGGGGCAGAACCGGGAGCAGTGGAGGAAGGTGCCAAGAAGCCCATTTGTGGCTTTCTAGGCCTTGGCTCTTTCTCAATGTGTGGTGCTCCTGGGGAGCCATGGGAAGCAGACATGGTCAGCAGATGTGGTCATCTGGGAGTTAGTCAGTCGGGCCCACCTCCTGGCAGAAGGCGGCACATGTTCATTTGCAGCCAGAACATTAGTGAGCCCAACAGTAAAGAAAACTAAAAGCACCAGCTCCCTCCCCCTGAGGCTGGAAAGTGGGGCCTGGGGCCACACACCCTCTTGGGGGAGGAGTCATGTTGTTCATCTCACTGGGGCTTGAAACAGACCAACTGGACAAAGCCTTGGTCTTGTCAAAGGCCCAGGGCTTCCTCCCTGAGTCCTCTCTGCCATGCTCCTCCTCAATCCATCCTTCAATCAGCAAACAACTACTGAGTGCATCGGCTCCACTATGGGCCAGGCTCTGGGCTGGGTGCCAGGGATGCCAAGACAGAGGTGAAGCAGGCAGAGGAAACCTGCCCAGGTACACACAGAACACCCACAGCACATAACCAGCTCCCGTTGGATGGGAAGACATGAGCCTCTGGGCAGAGAAAGACGGTCTTCCCTGGAAGGAAGCCAGGGAGGCCCCTGAGGAGGGAACCTAAGAGGCAGAGGCCAGGAGGGACAGCAGTTCTGGCTGGGGGGATGGGCTGAGTTGGGAAATAGGTGTCCTTTGTGAACAAGCAGCCTTGTGTGGCCCCACCTTGGGTCCGAGCTTCCTGGTCCACCCTGGAGGATGTCCTCCCTTGTACATGTGTGTGCATGGGGGCATCTATATTTACACTGACCCAGGAAACACGTACACTTGTGCCATCACATCACCTCCACTTGGGGTTTACTCTTCTGGCTTTTTCAGGCAATTTAACCCAATGGGTCACTTTTTCTTCCCCATTCCTGTCCTCTTCCTTTCTGGAAGGTCAGACTGGAGCATTGCCCACCTGTCAGGACAGGCTTTCTCCCAGGTCCTTCCCCCCTTGTTCTCTCATTCTGGTAACTTTATCCACAATAGAAATGGCAGCATGGAGGATGTCTGTGGGTTGCTATTATTGCAATGTGCTTCTGGAAGCTGGAAGATGAGAAAATGGCCGTGAGTTCCAGGTGCTGCTGCTTCTGACATTGTTTTGTTATGTTTCCATTCTCTGTGTGTCTGTCTGTCTCTCAACATTTCGGAAGTCCCTTGTTTTTGACACCCTCGTGGATAACTTGTCAGTGGATCCCACCACAGGGGACGTGTGGGTTGGGTGCCATCCCGACGGCATGAGAATTTTCTTCTATGACCCAGAGAATCTACCTGCATCAGAGGTGAGTTTTGGGAAGACATTTAGACATTTTCTTTCTTCTCCCCTATAATGTTCCCCCTGGAAAACATACCCCTTAACTTAGCAGAAGTTCTATTTTAAAGAGATAGTTCAGCTGAAAAGGTGTTTAAAAGAAATAACCATTGCATTTTGATTATGATTTGATCTGTCTGATTTTGTGAGGAATCCCAATCAAGCTGAACTGGGCCAATCTGGCCTCCTAAGCACTCCTTCTCACCAGCCCTGAGGCAGAGCTGGCCTTTCTCTTTAGACTTGCTGGTTAATATTAAGAATGATAGTTTACATTTAGTGTGTGACCAAATGCTTAACAGATTTTATCTCATTTAAAGGCAGCTAGATGGGGCAGTGAATAGAGAGCTGGGTTTGGAGGGAGGAGGACCCACGTTCAAATCCAGCCTCACACACTTTGTAAATCACTTCACCTTGTCTGCCTCAGTTTCCTCAACTGTGAAATAGGCATAATAACAGCATCTACCTCAGGGTTGTTGTGAGGCTTCAATGAGATATTTGTGAAGCACTTAGACCAGTGCCTGGCATTCAGTACAAAGACAGAGGTGAAGCAGGCAGAGGAAACCTGCCCAGGTACACACAAAACACCCAAAGCACATAACCAGCTCCTGTTGGATGGGAGGACAAGAGCCTCTGGGCAGAGAAAGAAAGTCTTCCTGCAGCCTTGAAGAAAGCCAGGAGCGAATGCTTATCCTCTTATTTCCTCCCTCATTCGAGCTTTAGAACAAGCCTGTGAGGTTGGTGCTCCTCCCTCGATTCTCACACACACATTTTTAGAAGTGGGGAAATTGAGACTGAGTGACACTTGCTTAGTGGCCCCAAGCAAGAAAGTTTCTGAGGTGGGACTTAAACCCAGGTCTCTTCTGACTTTAAGTCTAGTATTCTAACCACTATCCCACACTGCTCAAGCCTTCCCTGGTAGATCACTTCACCTTCTCCTTCCTCCAAATCACTTTTTAATGATTGCTTGGAAATACCTCTTGAATAAGACCCTTCTGCTCCAGCTTTCACCTCAGTTAAACAAGTGACATGAAGGACAGAGAGATGGAGGGGGAGAGAGGGGGAGAGGGAAAGATGAGAGGGAGAAAGGAAAAGAGTAGGGAGGAGAGGGAGGGAGGGAAGGAGAGAGACAGAGAGAAGGGGGGAGAGGGAGGGAGACAGGGGGAAAGGGAGGGAGAGAGACAGAGAAGTAGGAAGAAGGAGAGAGATGGGCAGGAATAGATGGGAGAGCTTCCTCAGGCAGAGCACTGGACAATGCCCCGTGAGTGGGTTTGCTACAGCATGCTGAGAATACCGTGCCTGGACCCCATCTCCCGTCACTAGTGCGGCTGTTAGGCTGCACCCTTGGGCCCAGAGCGGAAGCCACCCTCTCAGCATTTCCCATCGCCACATAGGGATATTCTAACCAGCTCCACTTGCCGGTGGGGCCCTGGAGGCTGCTCTAAAAGGGCCCCACATGAACCATCCTGCCAGTTTCTGGTGGTAGCCTGGACTCTCGGCTGGGGGGTGGGGAGGGTGGGGAACTGCTAAATGCTGACAACCAGCGGTGGCTGTCTCTTTCTTAGAACTTGCTCTGGATAGGACTGAGCTGGATAACTGAGATCTGAAGGTCCGGAAGAGCCACACCATAGCCAAAGGAGGCCCAGCCTCTTAAACCTGGGAGGTGTGTTAGCGACGCCCTAGTCGGCTTTCCTCTTCATGAGGAATGATGAGTGCTCAGAGTTCATCCCAAGCTGAGGAGCCTGAGAGGTCATCTGGGCCGATCCTCTTGTTTTACACATGAGGAAACTGAGACACCGAGCGAGAAGTCACAGGTGCTAAGTAGCAGAGCCAGGCCTGGGGGACGCTAGCTTTCTCTGCAAGTCTGGGCTTGCTCCAGAGCTCGTCCAGGCAAGGTCACTCAGTCACTGGCCAGGATGCAGCCCAGAGGCGTAGCCTGGAGATACTGAGCCGCATTCCTCTGTGGGTGGTGGAACTCCTGCTTCTCGGTGCCTGGGGCTGGGGCGGGGATAAGCCCAGCAGCCCGGGAGCTACAACTGGTGAGGCCCTTCACTGAGAAGCAGGAAAGTCTTCCGGGGTCAGCCTTGGGGCCGCCAGGGACTGACTACAAGGAATCTGGCCAAGGTCGTCAGGGCTAGTGGAAGGGACCCAGCTGAGCCAGGGCTGCAGCCTGTCACGTCATTTCCCCTCTGCCACAGGTGCTCCGCATCCAGAACATTCTCTCCCCCGAGCCGACGGTAACCCGGGTGTATGCAGAAGATGGCTCTGTCCTTCAGGGCAGCACCGTGGCCTCGGTTTTCAAAGGGAAGCTGCTGATAGGCACGGTCTTCCACCGGGCTCTGTACTGCGAGCTCTAGACGCGCCCTACCCGCGCTGAGGCCGAGGGCCATCGAGGGGAACCCATCCGAGCAATAAAAGGCATGCCCCTCCGAAGTCGTGAGAGAGTCTGATGTTGGGGGCTAAAAGGGGCCAGGAGATGGGGCGTTCGCTCTGTTTTAGAGCCATCGGCAGAAGTCATGGACCCCTCCTAAGGCAGCCTGGGCCTCTTCAGATCACTTCTGGGATGTTATTACTGGTATCAAACCCAGGCCTGGCCCTGTAGCTTCCCCTATTCTGGCTACTCCTGGATCCCCCTCCAGGCAACAGCCGCGGCCCCTCACCTTCGATTCTCTCATTCCTGGGGGGTTGCCCTCCTCTGTCACACATTCTCCCGCTTGTCAATGTCCTTCCTAAAATGCAGTGCCTAGAACTGACTTCAGTCTCCTGAAATGTGATCCGAGCAGGGGAGGGGGCAGGTCTGTCACCTCCCGCCTGCTGGACAGTGCCCCACTCCTATTGTGGCCTCACCTCGAGGGGGCTCTCAGGGATGCTGAGTCTTCGGGATTCCAGTCTCCCGATGGTCCTAAAGCATGGAATTTCCCAGATGACAGGGTCTCAGGTTAGCTGGCTGGAATGGAGAGGAGAGGAGAGGAGAGGAGAGGGGGAGGGGGATGGGAGGGGAGAAGAGGAGGAGGGAGGTGTGTTAGCAGGAGAGGAGGGGGGGAGGGGAGGAGAGGATGTTTGGCTCAAAAAAATGTTATCCCTGTAATTAAGCATCAAAAAAAATGGAGCCTGACATTCCCGGACTTGGAACCCCAAGTGGATGGCATCCTAGTCCCCCACCCCACCACCTACGTTTCTCCCTCTTCCCTCCTTTCCTTTCCCTTCTCCCAATACCTCTGCTCTCCCTCAAAGCTGGCTTTCCAGATCACATCCATCTCCCAAGCAGCCTCTGGCTGCTTTGGGGATACTGGCTGCCAGCTCCACCCCACCACACACACACACTACCCACAAGACACAATGGGGCACTGCCAAACCAGCCAGTATGAGCTGTGAACAGCATTTTCACCAGCCCCATCACTCCCTGTGCTAGGAGGCAGCTCCCAAAGCCTGCCCAGGGTGGACTCTAGGACGTGAGTCTTCACTGGTACATGTCCTGCTCTGCTCTGCCTTCCTAGGCCCACTTAGCAGCCTCTGAAGTAGCTGTGGCTAAGGCCAGCCTGATGCTGACCCTCTGGCCTGCCCTGGCCGAGTCTCTCACCCCCAGCACTTCGAGCATTCATTTAAGTTCCAGATGCTGGGCTAGACACTAGGGGAAGAAGAAGACGGACATGAACCAGTCCATCTGCAGGATGACACTGTCTGGTAGGGGGGGCACATATACCTATGGGTACACACAAAATAAATACAAGATCATGGCCATCCCAGGGTGTGTGATGGGCCGCCTGTGTGCCAGACACTGGGCTAGGCTCTAGGGGTGGGGAAGGGAAGCTGAGCCTCATTCAAAGGGGACAGACAAGGCAGATACTCTTCCCTGGGGAGAGAAAAGGCTTTCTCCTGCATGGCCTTCCCACATGGACTTGAAAGTCTGGCTTTGAATCTCCATTCAGACATGTGCCAGCTGCGCTGGCCTGAAACAATCAATCCCTTTTCTGCACCTGCTTCCCCATCTCTGCATCTTCAGAGTCCAGGCTAGGGGTGCCCCACATGAGCTTGCTGATTCACTGATGAGTCTGTCCAGGACCTCAGGCCCCCCCCCCCAACACACACCACAAAGGCATCTCCTCCACAGCTTCCTTGGACTCCAGCTTCTATTGAAGGCAAACATTTTGGAAATTCTTCCTGCCTTGGTTCTCACTATCCCCTGCCCAAGTATTGTCTGGGGACAGCCAGCCTGTCTGGAGGCATGCTGGCAGGCTTGGGGGAGGCTGCTCTCCTCATGGGATTCCTACCTGTCCACTCCCAGCCCCAATCAACCCTGCTTCCCCAATAGACCAGGGATTATCCACTTTGCTGTGACCTGAAAGCTGCTCCCTGGCTTTTTATGTGGGTGTGAGAACAGGGCCCCAGGGTTATGCAATCTTGTGGGGTGGAGCTAAATCTCATTCATAAACAGGTGTATGGCACACCTGTACACCTTAGGAATTGTTATTGACCTGGGCCAGGCACAAATTCCAAGGCCCCAGGAGGCTGAGCTCTTAAGATAAGGAAGTTGTCCATCCCTGATGGAGCCTGATTGGTAAGTAATTCCTGGCCCAGCCAAGTACACCCACAGAACAGCCTAGCGCCTGAGAAAATGGGCAAGAAATCAGCAGAGGCAGGTCCTGCCCAACCCAAGCAGAGCTGGAGGCAGCCCAGCTGTTTCCCAGGCTCCCGTTGCTGCCAAACATTAGCCCTCTCCTGCTAACAAATGATCTGAGAAAGTCCAGACTTGACCCTTCTCCTCTTTGAGAGGACCCTGGGAACTTCCTGGACTGTTTGTTCTAACCCTCCCACTTTACAGCTTAGGATATGGAGTCAGTGTACAGACAAGATTAGAACCCAGGCTCTTCCCACCATGCTGTGTTGCCTTGTACAGAGCCCTAACTCTTAGAGGGGACCTTTCTGCCCTGGAGTCTCCTCTTGCTGCTGGGGGTTCATTGAGAGAAACAAACACACCTGCCAAGGTGCTTTGGTATCCAAGTGATGAGCTGAGTGCAGCTGGGGAAGGGGTTCAGGTCCCAGTCAGAGGCAGCAGTTGCCCACGTTCTATCAGGTCCAACATGTTTAATTTTGAGAAGCATCCCTCCCTCCCTCAGTTAAGGAAATGGCAAACCCCTCCAGTGTCTTTGCCAAGAGAACCCCACAGATTGGACTAAAATGATAAAAGAGATGACATTGGAAGATGAGGCCCTCTGGTCAGAAGGTGTCCAACATGCTCCTGGGGAAGAGCAGAGGACAGCCACCAGTAGCTCCAGAAGCAATGAGGCAGCTGGGCCAGAGCTGAAAGGAAGCTCAGCTGCGGACATGCCTGGTGACAAAAGCAAAGTCTGGCATGACAGCTTGGGTGTCAGTGAAGTGAAATGGATGGGAATGGGTGAGTTCAATCCAGGTGATCACTACATCTACTACTGTAGGCAAGAATCCCTTAGAAGAAATGAAGGAGCCCTCAGTCAATAAAAGGGTGATAAAAACAATATTGGGGTATGATCTCAAAAGTGACCGAATGATGTCTGTTCAAATCCAAGGCAAACCATTCATCATCACAGTAATACAAGTCTATGCTCCAACCACTGATGCGGAAGAAGCCAAAGTCCATCAGTTCTTTGAAGACCTGTAACATACTTGAGAAATAACACCCAAAAAAGATGTCACATTCATTATAGGGATTGGAATGCTCAAGTAGCAAATAAAAAGATGATTGGAGCAAAAGGCAGAAGCAGATGAGGCAGGGCAGAGACTAAGAGTTTTGTCGAGATAACTTTTAACAAGCCGAAGAACATGGACATCACTAGATGGTCAATATAGAAATCAGGTGGATTATATATTTGGCAGCCAAAGGTGGAGAAGCTCTATATGGTCAGTGGAAACATGACCTGGAGGGGCAGCTAGGTGGCACAGTGGATAAAGCACCAGCCCTGGAGTCAGGAAGACCTGAGTTCAAATCCAGCCTTAGACACTTGACACTTACTAGCTGTGTGACCCTGGGCAAGTCACTTAACCCCATTGCCTAGCAAAACCAAAACCAAACCTGGAGCTGACTGTGGCTCACATCATGAGCTTCTCGTTGCAAAATTCAGACTTAAAAAAAATAGGGAAAAACCATCAGATAATAAAGCTATGGCCTAAATAACATCTCTTATGAATATGAAGTGGAGGTGATGAATAGATTTAAGGGATTAAATCTGGTAGACAGAGGTTCTCAGTATTGTACAGGAGGCAGCCACCAAAAAAAAAAAAAAGGCATTCCAAATAAAGAAGAGTAAGAAAGTAAAATGAAGTCTGATGAGGCTTTACAAATGGCTGGGGAAAGAAGGAAAGGGAAAGATACCCAGGTGAATGCAGAATTCCAGAGAATAGCAAGAAGGGATGAGAGCTTTCTTAAATGAGCAATGCAAAGAAATAGAAGAAAACAATAGAATGGGAAAGCCAAGAGATCTCTTCAAGAAAATTAGAGCTACCAAGGGAACATTTCATACAAAAATGGGCAGATAAAACACAAAAATGGCCGGGATGTAACAGAAGCAGAAGAACTTAAGAAGAGTGGCAAGAATGCAAAAGAACTATATAAGATCTTCACATAGCCACAATGGTGTGCTTACTGATCTAGAAGCAGATGTCCTGGAGAATGAAGTCAAGTGGGGCCTAGGAAGCACTGCTGACACAAGTCTGGTGGAGGTGATGGATCCAGCTGACCTATTTAAAATCCTCAAAGATGCAGCTGTTTTGTTTTGGGGTTTTATTCCTCAGTCTTGCCTACATTGCCCTTTACTGTCCTCTGTCTTTTTAAAAAGTAGTGTTTTATTTTTTTCAATTACATGTAAAAGCAATTCTAACATTCATTTAAAAAATTTGAGTTCCAAATTTTCTCCCTCCCTCCCTTTCCTCCCCCTCCCTAAAACGGTAGATAATTTGATTTAGGTTATATACACACAATCATGTAAAACATATTTTGATATCAATTATGTTGTGAGAGAAGAAACAGACCAAAAGGGAAAAAAAACACAAAAAATAAAGTGAAAGTAGTCTGCTTCCATCTGCATTAAGACTCCATCAGTTCTCTCTCTGGATGTGGATAGCATTTTCTATCACAAGTTCTGTGGAGTTGTCTTAATCATTGCATTGCTGAGAAGAGCTTTTATTCATTATTGATCATCACACAATGCAGTTGTTACTGTGCATAATGTTCTCCTGGCTCTGCTCACTTAACTCATTCTCAGTTCATGTAAATCTTTCCAGGTTTTTCTGAAATCCACCTGCTCACCATTTCTTATAGCACAATAGCATTCCATTACATTCATATACTGAAACTTGTTCAGTCATTCCCCAAAAGATGGACATCCCCTCAATTTCCAATTCTTTTCCCCATAAAAGAGCTACTATAACTATTTTTGTGCAAATAGGTCCTTTTCCCTTTTCTTTGGTCTCTTTGGGATACAGACCTAGTAGTGGTATTGCTGGATCAAGGGGTATGCACAGTTTGATTGCTCTTTAGGCATAGTTGCAAACTGCTCTCCAGAATGGTTGGATTAGTTCACAACTCCACCAACAATGCATTAGGGTCCCAATTTTCCCACACCCTCTCCAACATTTGTCATTTTCCTTTTCTGTCATATTAACCAATCTGATAAGTGTGAAGTAGTACCTCAGAGTTGTTTTAATTTTCTAATCAATAGTGATTTAGAGCATTTTTTCACATGACCATAGACAGCTTTGATTTCTACTTCTGAAAACTGCCTGTTCATATCCTTTAACCATTTATCAACTGGGAGAATGACTTGTATTCTTATAAATTTAACTCAGTTTTCTATAAATCTGAAGATGATGCTGTTTAAATGCTGCACTCAGTATGCCAGCAAATTTGGAAAACTTAACAGTGGCCACTAGATTGAAGAAGATCAGTTTATGTTCCAATCCTAAAGAAGGGCAATGCCAAGGAATATTCAAATCACCCAACAACTGGGTTCATTTCACACACCAGCAAGGTTATGCTTAAGATTCTGCAAGCTAGGCTTCAGAAACCTGTGAACCAAGGATTACCAGAAGAGCAGGCTGGTTTTCAAAGAGGCAGAGGAACCAGAGACCAAATTGACAACATTCCCTGGACTATGGAGAAAGCCAGGGAGATCCAGAAAAACATCTTCAACTTCATTGAGTACACGAAAGCCTTTGATTACGTGGATCACAACAAAACATGGCAAGCCCTCAGAGACGGGAAGACCAAATCATCTTACTTGTCTCTTGAGGAACCTGTATTTGGACCAAGAAGCAATAGTTAGAACCAAACATGGAACAACTGATTAGCTTAAGAGTGGGAAAGGAGTACAAGGCTGTATACTGTCACTTTATTTATTTAACTCACAAGCAGAATACATCATGCAAAATGCCAGGCTGAATGAAACAAAAGCTGGAATTCAGGTTGCTGGGAGAAATATCAACAATCTCAGATATGCAGATGATAACATTCTGATGGCAGAAAGTAAAGAGGAATTCAGAAGCCTCTTGATGTGGATGAAAGAGAAGAGTGTAAAAGCTGGCTTGAAGCTTAACGTAAAAAAAAACCCTAATATCTTGGAAGCACTGTCAGATTTTACATTCTTGGGCTCCAAGATCATTGTAGATGGCGGCTGCAGCCACGAAATGAAAAGACACTTGCTCCTTGGAAGGAAAGCTATGGCAAATCTGGACAGCAGACTAAAAAGCAGAAACATCACCTTGCCAACAAAGGCCCATATAGTCAAAGGTATGGTTTTTCCAGTAGCAATGTATGGCTGCGAGCATTGGACTATAAGGAAAGCACAAATGGCACTTTCAAATTGTGATGCTGGGGAAGACCATTGAGAAGTCCCTTGGACAGTAAGGAGATCAAATCAGTCAATACTTAAAGAGATTAATTCAGGCTATTCACTGGAAGATCAAATACTGCAGTTACAATGTAAATACTTTGGCCCCATAATGAGAAGATGGGACTCATTGGAAAAGACTCTGATGCTGGGAAAAATCGAAGGCAAAAGGAGAAAGAGACAGCAGATGAAATGGAGAAGTAGCATCATGGAAATAATGAGCATGAGCTTGGACAGACTTTGGTTTTTCGTTTTTGTTTGTTTGTTTTGGTGAGGCAATTGGGGTTAAGTGACTTGCCCAGAGTGTTATGTGTCTGAGACTATATTTTAACTCAGGTCCTCCTGACTCCAGTCAGTGCTCTAACCACTGCACCACCTAGCTGTCCCTGGACAAACTTTGAGAGATAGTGAAAGACAGAAGGGCCTGCAATGCTACGGTGCTTTGGGTCATAAAGAGCCAAACCCGACTAAATGACTAAACAACCACCCTAGGTATGAGCCAGAAACAGCATTTATTTGCTTTAAAAAT